TTACGTTCTACGAACATCAGGGGCTAAAGGCATTGTGCAAATCCTTCCATAAAATGATTCCTCCTAATAAGAATCAAGAAGCACCCTTATAATAGTTATAAACTGTCATAAATATTTTTTTTGGGATACCCTGGAATGGGGATGTCCGCCTTTGCTAAACATCTGAAGGCCTCCCGTTATATAGGCAGTCCTTGACTTATGACCAACTGCTCAGCGAAGTTACGACCTACTTGAAAAAGGGTTACTTACGGCAAAATAAATGCATATAATAATATAATATAATAACATAATATAATATACTGTAGTATAATGTATAGTATAGTTAGTATATTATATATAATACACTGTAATATATATAGTATAGTTAGTGTAATATAATATATAATATACTGTTGTATAATGTATAATATATTATAATATAATATAATACAATAATATAACATAATATACTGTAGTATAATGAATAATGTAAATGTATAGTATAGTTTAGTTAGTATATTATAATACAATAATACAATAACATAACATAACAATATATTATACTGTAGTATAATGTATAATGTATAGTATAGTATAGATCAGTGTTTCTCAACCTTGGCAATTTGAAGATGTCTGGACTTCAACTCCCAGAATTCAAGTTGCCAAGGTTGAGAAACACTGGTATAGATGGTATATTATAATATAATATATAATATAATATACCGCAGTATAATGTAGAGTATAGTTTAGTTAGTATAATGTTATAATATATATAATATACTGTAGTATAATGTATAATGTATAGTATAGTATAATATAAATATAACATAATAATGTAACATAATATACTGTAGTATAATGTATTGTATAGTTAGTATATTATTATAATATAATATAATATTATAATATAATATAATGCAACATAAATGGGGCGAGATTGCTGCATTTATGGCTGCTTGGAAGGAGTTGTGTGAGTGAGTTTTACGACAGTTTTGCAAGGAGAATAAAACCAGGATTTACTTGTATTTTGTGACTGTGCTGTTTACCCCTTATGATGGTTACGTTTACTTAACAAACGCTGTAAAAAATGTACAACTGACTCAGTCACGTGATTGACCTATTTTACAACCGCGTTACAACTTCCAGTTGCATTAGTCATAATTTGAGGACCAGGTATAGAAGCTTTTTCCAAAAAGCAACTGGACTTTTTTTTCCCTTGAAGAGGTTTCGCTTTCTCCTTCAAGAAGCTTCTTCAGTTCTGAAGAACAGCTGGATGGCAGAGGAATTCTGGGAGTTGAAGTCCACAAGTCTTAAAAGTTTAGGGACCCTCCCCGTGTAAATGGCCCTCACAATAGCAATAGCAATAGCAGTAGACTTATATACCGCTTCATAGGGCTTTCAGCCCTCTCTAAGCGGTTTACAGAGAGTCCCCCTCGTCCCCATGCACCTTGGAGGTAGCACCCAAGAACCTCTGCTGTTGTTGTTTTGACAGACAGATGCTTCCCACGTCGACAGTGACGGTGCTGGATGACCACATCAGCCATTATCCACAGCTGGAGGAGCCTCAGGGTTTTCTGAACGCCTACTTAAACTTCATCAACTCCTTCTGAGCCACAAAGACGATGGACAGAAACCATTCCTGCTCTTCCGAGGACAGTTTTGCACTCTGGAGCAACAGGAGAGGCGTGGGAAGAGCGGATGGAAACTCCGGACGGCGGTGAACCAGTCTTTCATGCAATCTCTGCGTCGGCGAGTAAATTGACGGAATCTTACCCGACGGATTGGTGGGGACGGTGGTGGAGGGGTCTGAAGCAGTTTGACGGGAGCCCCCCTCCCGGGCTTTCCCCCCAAAATCCTGCCTCTGGAGGATGCGGGGAGAGAAAGTCCAGGGGAATAAGCGAGCAGAAATGAGAACGGCCCATCAGGATCGGGATGATAACCGTACGGGTAGTCCTGGACTTACGAATGGTTCGTTTAGTGACTGAAGTTACAACTGTGCTGAAAAAAAAGGGAACTTTGAGCATTTTTCACACTTATGACCACCGTGGCATCCCCGTGGTTAGGGGATCGAACTTCGGACGCTTGGTACCGGACTCGTATTTAAGACGGTTGAAGTGTCCCGGATCATGTGGTCATTTTTGGGACTCGACTGCTTTGAAACGCATCAAATTTGGTCCTCAGCGCATTTTGACACAAAAGGTTTGCCCCAGGGACTCATCGCTTGGCACTCCGCGCACAAGGTACAGGCAGTCCTCGACTTACGACCACGGAGCCCCAAATATTTTGCCGCTAAGTGGGACATTTGTAAAGCGCTCTTGCCCACCGTTACACGACTTTTCTCGCCACCGTTGTGTAGTGAATCTCCACAGTTGTTAAGTGAGTCACCCGGTTGTTAAGTGAATCCGGCTTCCCCTTTGGCTTGCCGGAAGGTCGCAAAAGGGGATCGCGTGAACCCGGGATGCTGCAACCGTCATAAGTATGAGTCAGTTGCCAAACGACCAAAGTTTGATCATGGGGATGCTGGAATGGAGATAAGCGTGGAAAATATGTGGGTTTTTTTTCCTGTACTGTTGTAATTTTGAACGGTCGCTAAATGAAGCATTGTAAGTTGATGGCTGCCTTGTGGCATCCTTGATAAACTTAGTTTTCTGCCTCGTTTCCTTTTTGGTTACGTCTAAATTATAAATTTGTATTATACAAAGACATTCTTTGGATTATTCCCACGGATGCCGGCTCCCTATTTATAACCTTGGATCGTATAAAAGTGGATTATTTTCCCTGCTGCCTTTTTAAACACCCCAATTACAGGTAGTCCTCGTCTTACGACCACAACGGAGCCCAATATTTCCGTTGCAAAATGAGACACCCGTTGAGTGAGTTTTGGCCTGTTTTTACGACCTTCCTGGCCGCAGTCGTTAAGTTGGACTAGAAGAGCTCCAAGGTCCCTTCCAACTCTGCTATTGTATTGTATTTTAAAGCTGAGAAACATGGATCTATCCCGAGTGTGTTTTATCATTCATAACCACTGGAAACTTCTGGAAGTGCTGAAAACAGCCCATTTATTGGCGGCCAATAAAAATCCAATCAACGAACTGCTCTTTTTTTAAAAAAAAAAAAAGAAGAAAAATAAAGGTTAACACCCCCCCCCCTCCAATCTTAATTTATAACTGGAACGAAGATGCGACCAAGTTTTTGCCTTGCTGGGAGGGTGGGGGTTAGGGATGGAAAAAGGAACGCCAAAATTATTCCATGAAAGACAAATAACAGTCGAAGGGATTCGCATGACGAACCGAAGGAACGCACCGCCCCAGATCCGGGTTGCGCCTTGCCCGGCGGAAGAGGAATCGGGAACGGGGCAGCATCGGGGTTACGAGCGTTAGCCGACGGAAGCCAGGATGACGTCCACGGGGGTTTCTACAATGCTCCGGACAGTCACTTGCATCGTCACGCCGTCGCCAAGAGCGAGTCGGGCTCTGACCAGGACATCTAAGCCGCCTCTGAACATACCTGGGGATTGGGGAGGAGGAAATCCAAGAAGGTAGGCCAGGATTGAAGATTCCAGAAGAATAGCAATAGCAGTTAAGACTTATATGCCGCTTCATAGGGCTTTCAGCCCTCTCTAAGCGGTTTACAGAGTCAGCATATCGCCCCCACAGTCTGGGTCCTCATTTTACCCAGATAGATGATAGATAGATAGATAGATAGATAGATAGATAGATAGATAGATA